GGAGTGCAATTAAGAAATGTACACCAGACTCTCGGGAGGGAAGTATATTTCTTATTCGACCTGTTCTGTTAAGAAAGTTCCCAGACCCTGGAACAGCAACGTGGTTTTCTTAACATAAAGTTTGCCCGTACTACTGCTACTGCTACTGCTCCTGCTCGTGCTCGTGCTCGTGCTCGAGCTCTTGCTCCTGGTGCTGCTGCTGCTGCTGCTCCTCCTCCTCCTGCTACTACGACGCCGACGACGACCACTACGACACCAGCAGTAGCAGCAACACTGCTAGCAACAGTCAGCCGGGTCCGTGCCTGCCAGAGCTCACAGAGGCTGGGAAGGCTGCCGAGGCTTCCAGGGTAATGCCAAGGCATCAGGATCACCAGAACTTTTCCGATCTGGCTGCCATACCTCTTGGACTCGGATTGTCTGTTCTTGCAGCGCCTCTCTTGCAATAACACAAATGGTAATCGCAGTAACAATAATAATAACAATAATCACCGTAATAGTGTACCATGCAATCACAACAATTATAATATATTAATACTAATAATAATAACAATAATCATAATAATACTAACAATACTACTAATAGTAATAATAACCATAACCATAATGATAAATTAAGGCTTCCGATCCAAATCCCGGGTTTTGAGGAGCCTCCTGAAGTCGGCGATCCGCTCCGGGAGCGGAGGGGGAGAGCGGTGCAGGTTCACGCAGAGGCTGCAAGTCCTCTTGGGAGTTTAGGGCTATTATTTAGGGGTTTAGGGCTTTTGGGGGGTTTAGGGGTTTAGCACTTTATAGGGGTTTAGGGGTTTAGGGTTTAGGGGTTTAAAGGGTCTGGGGTTTAGGGGTTTAAGGGTTTCTACAGGCTGGGCTTTAAAGCAAGCAGAGAGAAAAAGTGTAAATCGTTATGTATTAATGGTTCCTGTAAAGAACAGATCCCCCAAAAAAGCTTAGAAGTATGTAGAGGCGGTGGGGCTTTGGGCCCAGGGTTTGGATGTTTTTAGGTGTCTGGAGTTTGGGGATTTTCCCGAGATTTTGGGATTTGGGATTCGGATTCAAGGCTTTGGGGCCTTTACTGCAAAGGGCTGCAGCGCTTCAAACTTGGAGGGGCGCTCGGGGTGCTGGAGTTGGGATTTTGGTCGCATCAAGGCCTCAGCATTTAGGGTGTCGAACTCAGGTCAAGGCCTGTTGTCGATCTTATTCCAACTCATGTTCATACTGCTGACTTTTACGAACAGCTTTCGCTACCCTGATCTCTTGTGTACAGCATGTCGGGGCTGATTCACTTGACCTAGCAGGATCAGGACTCAAGTGACCCCGGATGCGCCACAATGCACGAGAGCAGAGCTGCAGCTCCAGACATAGGTCTGCCGGGGATTGAGCCCGCGGTCGTGGCCTGAGACTGGGCTTCTCGGCTCGGGACTCCAGGTTTTTGATACATCAAGAGACTAGAGCCTTCCAGAACACCAGACTAGCTTCTCAAATGCCGCACCGAAACGCAGCATCACCTGCACAATGAAGACCCGCAGACTTTATTTCAACTCGAGTTCTCTTCGAAACTGGTGCATCTTCATGGTGTCTTCTTCATTTAATGAAGAACTTGACATGTCATAGTCCCTGAACCGCCTCCAGCCCCTGAACCGAACTCCAAAGAACGAAAACTCGGACGATTTCACCAAGCAGCAGAATTCATCCAGCGCCCCCACCACCTCGCCAACCGCATCCCGGGGCGAGCAGCTGAGCATGTGGGTCGCCGGGCCAGCGTTCTCCGGGCCATAGATGGAGTCCTAGGCTGTGGCTGGATCATCAACTGCTACAAGTGCAGCCGAAGCTTTCGGCTGGCGGTATGCCCTCTTAAGTGTCTTAAGGCGAGAAAAATTGAGCATGGAATTCGGGCTTTGGGGTTGGTTCGAGGAATTTATTTGGGGCCTAGGGCTGAGGGGAATCTGAAAAGGCACCTGCGAATTGGATTTCAGCTCCAGGCATGAATTTTTAAGGGCTTTGGAGGCTCATCACTTTCCTGGTCAAAACCCTGATGAACGAGTGGTCAGAGGTCAAAGAGGCTCGGAGACTCGTCCGAACAGGAATGCCATATCTAATGCCCTGGGAGGTGCCACAGGCCAAAACTGATCCTCCAAGGGTGTTCACTCTCAGGGCCCTTCAAAGAGAGAGAGGTAATGCCAGGTCGCCACATATGCAGACCCCTGCAGGCCATCTCGTGGGCAAGTCACCATCCTAAGCGCCAGAAGGCAGAGAAGAGGACCGAGCTGCTCAGAATTCAGCCGTTAGGGTGGTAGAGTTTGGGTGTGGGACGCATGTTTGCTGATGCTGCATGAGATACGAACATCCTGCGTGTTCGGTGCAGCAGCTGCAGCTGCCTATTACAGGATCAGCCCACCCCGAGCTCCTCATTCAGCCCCAAAGGCTAGCCAATGCGTAACCCAATGTCCCAAAACTTGTATAGCTAAGTTGGAAAGCATGTAATTCAGACCCAAAGCCCCGCAACATCACTGCAAGCCCTTCTGCAATCTCTCTGAGCTCCACACACAACCTCAAAGGCCTGAACACTCAACGCAAACCTCAACCCTTCCAAAAGCCCTCTGGCGCTCTGAAGGCCTGGTAGAAGTCATGATTATATATATATATAATACTATATATATATATATATTATGTTATATATTGTATTATATTATATTATATTATGTTTCTTTATATTGTATTATATTATATTATATTATATTATATTCTTATATTATACTATACTATATTCTATTCTATTCTATCATATATAAGTATATAAGTTTCAAGCCGAGCAGCTCCGTCCTCTCCTTGGCCACGCAGCTGGCAGCCTCCTCCAGGCTCGCCTTCGGCGGCTTCATGCTCAAACTGATGAAGAAACACGCAGCCTAGTCAACAATAATCCGAACAATACCAACCAATACTAGTGATGGCAATGAGTTGTCGCGCTTCTCCTTCTTCTTCTTCTTCTGCTTCTTCTTCTTCTTCTTGCTGCTGCCGGTGGGGTGCGGGTGTTGGTGCTGTTGCTGTTGTGGTTAGTGGTGGTGCAAGTAGTCGTCGTCGGTGAATTTGTCTGGTGAACTGATTCAAGCCTCAGGTTGTGGGAATAGTAGCAGTGGCAGTCGCTCTGGCTCTACACTCTGCTCTCCAACCAAGGGGCCTCCATGCCGAGACCTGCTTGCAAGACCAACTCCAAGAACTGAGCTGAGAGGTGGTGGATGCTCACGCCGCGCAGGCTGTGGCCTCTCATGGACTGCGGTAGGGATGGGCGATCTTCCACGTCGAAAAAGATACCCCTTTGTGATCTCTTAGTCTTGTTGAAGGTTTAGTGATTTGGGTTTCTAGGGAGAAGACATTGAATCAGGGCAGGTATTACAAAATGTGATGGGCGAGAGTCTGACAGGCTCGGACCAGCGCTTGAGGGTTAAAGTCTGTAACGAATTCCTGGCTCTTTACATGCTCGCGCGAGCAGCAGCGCAACACTGGCATTCGAGGTGTTTCAGTATGCGAAGCGCTGTGACGAAGGTCTCTGAGGCCAAGATGCTGCACTTGTAGGAGACTTGGTGCGTTGTTACGCATTTTTGTACCTACCGTATGTCTCGCTGCATGAAACAGGGACAAAACACAAGCCCCTTTTTGTGTCCGTCCTGCCCCCCCCCTCCCCACATCCCACGCCAGCTGAAACAGAAGCAAAGCACGAGACAAAACAGAAATGGATGGAAAGTTACCTATATTAAGCTACAGAGAGTGCCACGCTGCGAATGCACGTGCGATCTCATGTCAGCCCTCTAAGTTCTGTTTGGTTCCTGCTGAGGCCATATCTCTTTCTGGTTTTGCACAACCGGAGACAGACGACGTGTGGAGATGTTTGTATATCTATGCACAAATACATGAAACATGTTAGATGCGAATCTTCCTATTCCATGAGCAGAAATCTCATGTTGCGGCAGCCCTTAACCCTGAAACCCTAAGACCCTAACCGTGAGACCTAGTAACTTAGTAGCCTACACCCCTAAGCCCTATACATGACCCTGAAGCCCTAAACCCTAAAAGTCCTACGTTGAGGTCCACCGGCTACCGGAAACCTTAGTAATAATATTCCTTATACCGCAATGTACCCCCAACGCCATGTTCTGATTGTTGATCATTATCCCTATTGTACACCCCCGATCCAACTATATAGGCCCCTACATTTCCGTTAAGGCCCAACATATGCGAAAACATGTGTAAGACATGCACTAAAAGACATGGGAGGACATGCTGTGAGAAAAGACAGTGTCACGGCGGCAATGCAATAAAGCAACCACGATGTGAATAGCAGCAAACATAACAAGGCGCTACACAGCACCAGCACTTCGACATCTACTAGGCACAGCCAGAAGAAGAGCAACCAAACATCGAAGCACTGCTCTGCCTATGCTGGGATCGAGATGTCGCAGCTGCTGCGTCAAGGCACCTTACATGCACATGGATGCGAAGTTTAAGAAATGGCGAAATATGCAGCAAATGTTCAGCAGAAATCATCCGATCGCTGAGCTCTGTCATGTGCGCATTGCTTTCACGGTGTCGATACCGAAAGTGACCGGTCTCACAAGACAATGTTGGTGAACGGGCAGATGTCCGGGAGATCTGCACTGCACCTCTTCTCTTGATATTGAAAAGCCCTCAACCCTCACCCTTGCACCTGATACAGCCTTTCGGCGCCACACCCCAAACATCTCGAGATGCATCCACAGAGGAACAAAAACCGCAAAACGCAGCACTGGGCACCTTCGAGCTCAAAGCTGCGGGCTTCGCTGGCTTCGAACTCGGCAGACAAAGCTTCCAACCTGCGAGATGCATTTGTCGCTGGAAAAATCAGTCAGGGTTTGGGGTTTAGAACCCAAAAAGCTCGTCAAAAGCCAACGAGACAGACTCCCACTAATTTAAAAGCCACAGATTGCCCTTGGCCCCTGGCTGTCCCTCTTGCGCGGCGTACCGCTGCTGTGCAAGGGCCACATCCGCCTCTCCGAGTCTGCACAGCCATAAACCGTGAACCCTGAACCCATAAGCCCTAAAACTCGAAGGGCGGCGAGGCCTAAGCTTGGGGCTTGGTGCCGAAATCTTGCTCTTTAAGGCTTCGTGCTCCGAGGTCCGCCGGAAGTAGGTCTTTTGCTGTTTAGGGAGGAATGATTGCGCTTGCGAGGTCGCAGAGGGGTTTGGATTCAGATACTTCGCGCGGGGTGAGGGTTGGCTCAACTCATGTGCCTCAGACCTGGACAAAGCGGAAAGTGGCAAACAAATTGTCAATCGGCGAGTCATGAAAATTGGCGGGGCACGGAATACTCACGCCAAACCTGACATGGTCGCAATCGGCAACTACCTAGCAAAGCAACATGCAACCAAAAGTTTATCCTCGCAAGCTGGTCTTGATCGCAGCCACTACCCACGCAAGCTGTCATGCTCATCAGATGTAGAATGCACATGTTTTCAGCATCGTCACACTAAACAGTCAGCCATGACCATCAGATAAAGAGCCTGGCCCAGCCAGAAGCAACAGCTCTCTGCTGGAATCAACCATTTGTCCTTTATATCGCAGTCCCTACCCAAGCCATATATCTGAAACCAGAGCTCCAGAGCTCCACATCCCCAACAAAACAGCCGGCCTGAGCTGCAGCACAAGCCGCCTCCGTCCTGTTTCGCATTAGCTCGACTAACCCCCTTAAAGCACAGACCCACGCCGGCAAGCGAACAAAGCTAACGTGGACAGAGAGCGAAGGGAGTCAACAGTCAAACCAACGCGCACACACATACACACAAATTCTGCTTCAAAGAACATTCTTGAAGCTTCGTTTGATAAACCGCACCATACCCTCAGACTTCCATGCAGAACCCCTACCTGTAGCTTTGCTGCGAAACCATCAAGGGACACAGAAGCCGGCGATCAGCTCTGAATTCCCAGCGGGGTCCGTCTCAATGCCGCCGTCGTCTCCTCGAGTTCCAGCTCGACCGCGCGAGCCTCGCCGCTTTTAGCTCTGCAGGTGGGGGGCGAATGTGATGAAACACTCACTAAGACTCCTAAACTAACTGTAGCTGTTAATGCCATGCCGATATGAAAACAGTGGGACTAGAAATAAGAATAAGGATACCAATCAGAATCATAATGGTACGAGCAATATGAAGAATACAACATCAAATCAAACACACCATGCACTGTGGCGTACTTGAGTGATCCCCGTTTACCTCGTGCGGCACGCCTGCTCCACACTTTGTCGTTGGACCGCCTGTGCTGCCAAAGATCGCTGGTGAGCCTCGGTCCCCGTCGCACATCGATCTGCTAAATATGTTGGCTCTAAAGCAGAGTGAGGGGTTTTACTGTAGTTGCGCTCAGATTAAGGATGCTAACATCTATAGGGTTTATGTTAGGGTCCCGGGTGCTCTGCATCTCCCAAGCAGACCGGATTGCCTTTCAGCTCCTTCAGAACCGGACACATGCATCTCCTTGCGCAACGGACTACCGCTCCGGCAGTCGCTTTGATGCCTGTTGGGCCTATTGCTCTAGCTAACCATGTAGCTACCTGTCTGCCGAGATATACATGTACCACATGTACATCCGCATATAATGAACCGTTCCTCTTGCTCTGTGTGCACGTATGTGTGTATCTCTCAGTCTGTCTTTGTACAAATATGCTATATGTGTATGTGCATACATGTGCTGAATATTTTACTTGTACACACACACACACAGATGTGTGTGTGTGTCTGTGTACATGTGTTCGCCTGTGTTGATCGGGGCTTGGTTCGCTTGCGCAGCAACACATTTTGAAAAAAAGGAAGGAGGAGGAATAGCGAGAGTAGGGCCAGGAGAAGGCCTATAGCCTGTGACACTCTACATCCCCAACCCCAGAACCCCAACACTTCGAGTCTATAACTCTAAAATCCTGTACCCTGAACCCCCACTCTCAGAGCCCCCACTTAGGTCCGCTGCCGTGGCCAACTCGTCGCTCATCTTCGCCATGGCTCTCGCCTCGCTCAGGCCGTCGTCCTCCTGGGAGTGGATTCAGACAGGCTCGGGGCGAATATGAGGTATTGGAGCATAGAGTAGGATATGATGTAACAAAATCCAGGAGCAGAAGATAGTGGTTGTATACTATATATTTAAATAAAATATTTCACAGTATAGTATAATATGATGTAGCTATATAGCTAGGTGAGCTCAATGCAGGCACCCTGCTTTGCTTCTATTGGCATTTCTACTTGTTCTAAAATATTTCACAGTATAGTGTAGTATGATGTAGCTATATGGCTAGGTGAGCAAACCCCTGAACCCTAAACCCTGACCTTCTGAACACCCAAACCCCTAAAACCGTAAACCCCAAAATCCCTGAACTCTACTCCCTAAGCCCTAAACCCCTGAACCCTAAACCGCCTGAGAGCCCGGCAAAGCGTCGCCGCAGCTCTGCGAGCTCTGCACTGGCCTGGGCTGCCATCTCGGCCTGCTCAAATCAAGTCTGCGGATGGCTTAGGGACAACTAGTAACTAGGCTTTAGGGTTTTAAGTTTCAAGGTTTGCGGTTTGAGGTTCAGCGTTTAGGTTCAGACCCCGCTCTGCTCAGGGAGCCTTCTTTGCCGGCTTAGAGCTTTGGCGTCGGCTTGAACACACACTGATCGCCTGTGCCTGCAAAAGTACAGAGTAGAATGTACACCGGCACTATTTCACGTGCTGAGAAAGACTTTACAATACAGGGTGTGCTGAGCGACAAGCCGACTTAATGCTGCTCCGAAACAACACGTACTTAGCCCCTGAATGTGCTAAGGTGCGTCGCTCTGACGATGCTGCTGCTGCTGATGATGATGATGATGATGAATGTGTTGATGATAGTAATGAAGTAGATGATGAAGCAATATAAGATGATGATAATAAAATGATGCTCTCACTATCAGCCATTAGTAGCGTAGCGGCAGCAGTAGCAGTAGTAGC